ATATAAGATGTATCATTTTAGTTAGCTATATATTATTTTTAAATGGGACTTTTAAGTTTTTAAAGTGCTTTACCATACATTATTTTGCTCATTCCTCACTGTGTTATTGTGATACCTGATAGTGTTTCTGCTGTTTTTTGTTTTACCTCTTCTATACTGGCAAAACGTTTTCCTTTGAAAACTTTTTTCATCTTGAGAAACAAACAAAAATTGTTACTTGGGCAAGATCAGGTGAATAGGGAGAGTGGAGCATAGGGGTCACACTGTTTTTAGTTAAAAACTGTTGAATACTCAGCTCAATGTGGGCAGGTACACTTGTAAATTTATCATGAAATGGGCAAACGTTAAATTTCCACAAAAAAATTCACTGAAGCCAAATGCATCCTTTTAATCAATGCTAGTTGGTACACTGATGTTGACGGGTTCTTAGAACACTTACCTAGCGAGGGAAGCCTGTACTACTAAGGCCTGCCCTCCAAAAATGGTAATTCTGGATTTTTGGTGGGTGCCCCCACATATAGTCAACACTGCCATAACATATATGTTTCTCAAAATCACTGCTGTCTGCAAAACCACACAATAGAAGCCACACAGGACCTATGAGGGAAAATGGAACTGGGGCACAATACTCAAAACTTTGTCAGTGATACATTAAAAAAAAAAAGATAGGAACCTAATAAAAATGGTAGTTGAGTTTACCTGTTAAGAGTGGTTAAATGGTCAAGAAATGCATTAATACTACAGTATATATGACACTTTACTTTGAAAAAGATCTACAGTTTCTTATGAAAGTTTATGTCAAAAGAGATGCATATCACAAGTTATAGTGATGTGGAAGGAACAATGACTGAAATTGGAGGGAAGGTTGTAACCTCAGATGCAGATGAGTGTGGCTCATAATATGCACGATAGACTGAGGTCTATTTGAAATTTGTGTGTTTTGTGGATTTCTATGTGGCTTGGTTCTGCTGGGTGCCATTTTATTTGTTCACTTAATTGTTCTCATGAATGAAATTAGGCATAAGCAAACATTAGATTTGTGTCTTGCTCAGATTTCTTCTAATATATCAATTGCATTGGAACAAATTTGCCCTTTCAGAATAAGTGTTATAGCAGAGCTATCAGTTGTAGGGAAAAATGGTGGGGGGACACTTAGGGTCAGAAAATTTTAGTTCTAGCCACAAAACTCCCATTTATAACGGTGGAATCTAAGCAAGTTCCCTCCCTCTCTTTATCCCACTCTCTTCATCTTTAAATGGAGGTGATAATAATCCATATAGTAATGCCAAATTATTCTGAGGACTAGATACTGTAATGGAGGTGGGAATGCTTTGTAAAAATATAAAATGCTTTTTAAATTCAAGATATTTCTTGTAGAGTTTGCTTATTTCAGAGTTAGAGACCACAGCTAAAGAAGGACATGGGAGTTAGAAGTTAACCCACTCACAACTTTTGTTCAGATCTATCCTTTGAATAAGAGCTAAGCTCATTTCTATAAAGGAAAAGAAGAGAATGTGACTGACAGCAGTTCCTCTGAATATGTCTTTAATGTCACTTTTTAGACTCAGCCCTTGGACCATTGTTTGTGTTCCTGGAGCAGCCATTTGAGTACAATGGCAAAAGAAGCCAATAAGGAGAAAGGGAAGAGGTGATTTTGCAGAATGAAAGTGGGAAGAATAGAAAGGTGGTATACAGTGAGTCTTGAAAATCACTATAAGCCCTCTTCCAACATGACTTCTTAAAGAAAGGCCATCCCAGCCCAGTGGCTCTATAGAAAGAGAGTGGTTGCTCTAGAAATTTGGCTCTGTCAGATCTGTAACAGGTTTCTATGACATTGTCTTCTGCTCATTGTTTTTCATTACCTAGTGGTACTGTATAAGTAACACCCACTGTTCACCTCTCATTGCCTTTTGCTCTTCCTGCTGTGAAATATCCAGAGCAAACCCGTGGGAGAAAAATATAAATTACTTTTGAAACGAATCAATCTATACCCAAGATATAGCTAATACAAAAGAAATATCTAGTCAATCTAGTGACACTATCTTTTTCTACACTTAGCCATTTTTTTTTAATTTGGGTTAAAAACTTTTTCATATTTAGAAAATGTGTGGATTATTGTCAAGTTTTGATGAGTTAATTAAAATATGCATCACTTGAAGGGGATATATTTAAGTAAACAAGAGTTGCCTTCATAGTCTTAATCTCCCAGAACTTTCTCTGTGTTATAAGGGTGAGTGTGTGTTTTATGTTGAAAAGGTACTAACAAATTGAACAGAAAGAATTATTTCTGTGGAAAACTACCCCCCCCCATGAAATTTTTGGGACTCTTCAATATGACAGTGAGTCAATCTTTGTAACATTCTTTACTTTTGAAGGAAGGGGAGGGATGCTGTTTTCCCTGCAAAACTTTACATCCTTCCTAGCATGTCCTTTTTTTTTTTTTTTTGAGTTGGAGTCTCACTCTGTCGCCCAGACTGGAGTGCAGTGGCCGCTCCCGGCCACCGCAGCCTCGACCTGCTGGGCTCCGGCGATCCTTCCGCCTCAGCCTTCGAAGTAGCTGGAACTACAAGCACGCGCTACCACCCCGGCTAATTTTTTTGATTTGTTGTAGAGATGAGTTCTCGCCAAGTTGCCCAGGCAGGTCTCGAACCCACAGGCTCAGGTAATTCACTCACCTTGGCCTCCCAAAGCGCGGGATTACAGGCTGAGCCACCGAGCCCAGCTGGCATGTGCATTTGAACTATTTAACATATGTCATTTTTTAAAAACCTGTTTCTGTAATCAAAGTACTGTCTTCCAAATTTTATAATATAGGTGACTTATCCATGTTTCTTCTAGTTCAGTGAGTCAATACAAAGAGGAATGTTGATTATGTGTAATAAATGAGTAGTTTATTTTTATTGTGGCAAAATATATATAATACAAAATTTACCATTTTAAATATTTCTACAGAGAATTTACTTTAATTCTTTAATTAGAACATTCTTCTTCCTTTTCAAAACCATGTTTTTCTTTATTTTCAAAGCTTCCAGAATGTCACTTGCCAAAGTGACAGAATAAAGATTTGATTTTGATTTTAGTTTTTCACATTTTTATAAAAGCAACTAATTGTGGGGCTTAAAAATGGACCATCAAAGAGTTAAGCTTGAGTTAGCAAAAGACCAGCCCTAGAATTAATGAACAAATATATTTCCAGTGCTGCTGTGAATTGGATGCACTAAGTTCCTTATATATCGACAAGTTCCATTCTGAGAACTCGTAAGTCCAGTTTGTTTATAATCCAACAAAGTTAGCCTAGGTGACCAACTAACACAATTGGCTATATAGTATTGTACTGTAATAGGTTTATAACACTTTTCACACAAATAATACATAAAAAATACAGCACTGTACAGTAAAGTACACTTGTAGAGGATGTGCACACATGATAATTTATGCCAGACACATGAACAAACTTATAAACTTACATGATTGAGCATGTGAATGCACCTTCACATCTTTGAAAATTCGCAACTTGAGGGTTCATACGTAGGGGACTTACCCCAATGTGCTGAAAATACAGAATATGTTTGCACTTAAGATACAGTCCTGATCTCGAATAAGTGTTTATCTAGTTGCAGAATTATAGTAAATGCACATGAAAAATAACAATAGAAAAAAGTAAGAACCTAAAGATTGGTAAAGATAGTAGGTGGTATTGGAATTCAGAGAAGGGAGAGAATGATGAAGTGATGAGGGATACATTTTAGAGGACATGGCTTAAAGCTGAGCTGGAGGGAAGCCTAGGCTCTCATAGAGAGTCTGAGGGAGCTTTTTATGCAGGAGCAAGAACATGGTCAAATGTGCAGAAGGAGGGGACATGTAACTATTTTTAGAGGATCAGGATTCATTTCTAGCTTATAGTCTAGTGTTTCTTCATGGTATTCAGGAATACCTTTTTTCCCCCACGAGTTAGAGCTGGAGAAAATTTGTCTTTGCTCTGATTTCCTGTGAATATGACCCATGTGGTGAATCATATTAAATCCTGCATATGTACACAGTCGTAGTGTTTGATTTATTTCAAGACGGAGTTCTCTACTTCTCTTCTTTCCTTGTAAGAACGTATGTCCCTCACCTCACAATTAGGCATCGCATCCTTTGTTTTCATCATAGAATATATATCTTGTGTACAAGGTGCTCAATTTAATAACAGTAATAACCATAACAGTATGGCATGCTTTTAAAAATGGCAATGCCAACAAAACAAAAACAAAACAAAAAAGACATGCGAATAGCTGAGTCAGTATTATTAGGAAGATCTGAGCTGTGTGCAGCTGTGTGCTTTTCCAGTTCCAGGAATGAGTTTGTGCTGAACCATTCATTCTGGGTCATCCAGTCTCTCTTTCAATCCCTATTGCCCATTTGTCAGTTGAGCTAGTTTTTTAGGATTATAAAAACAGTGGATGATTAGGCCTATTTTTATCTCTGAAAACCTAGCTCGACAAAATTAAAACTAATTCTTGAACCTTATTCTCACCAGCATCATGGTCTAATTCACTTGGAATTTTTGGTCCTTCTACAAGAACAGTAATATTTCCTTTAAATCATATGCCAGAGATGGAAGAGATGAAACAATTCTGAGTAGGTAATAATGATCTTGCTAATTATTATCTGGCTTACTATGCATTTGATGGTATTTTGTGGTTATAGTTCTTCAGAGGAAGCTACCTAGGTTAGTGGAAATTATTCAAGTATTAGAATCAAGTCATCCAGTACTCAAAGTCTGTTACCTTCTGGTTTATATGATCTTGCACAGGTTACTTAGATATCTCTGGCCCTTGGTTTCCTTGTCTGTAAGAAAAGATCAATAATCTTTTCTACTACTTTGTGGGATTGTTATAAGGATGAAATTAACATATATACATAAAGCTCAAGTTATAACTTAGTGGCCAACAGCTATTATTTATTTATTTTTGTCATAACTACCTTCTTAAAAGTTATTCCCTTTGTGCTTTCCACAGCATGAGAAGCTGATACATGAACTGGAAGAGGAGAGACACTTACGTCTTCAAAGCGAGAAGCGGTTGCAGGAGGTGACCCTGGAGTCTGAGCGCAACAGGATTCAGATGCGTGGCCTGCAGCAGCAGTTCTCCAGGTATTGTTCTTAACTGAATAGACTGCCTCCTGAGGTGAATCCCTCTCTTTGCCAATAACACTTGGGATTGAATTCCATCCTGCAAGCTTCCGTTGTGTTTGATGAGCTAATTTTCCAACAGTGTAGACCTTCGATTCTGTCCAGGCCATCCTATTGCATCTGGATCAATTTTCTGAAACTTTCCATTTGCACCTGATGTGGTCTGAGCTTTATTGAAGGTGGTCATCTTTTTTTTCCTGATGGCATCCTAAGTGGTCTTCCAGTGAATTGTGGTGGTGTTGTGGCCTGTAGGCATATCCTGTGAAAGGCAAGCCAGGAATATGAGGTTTCTCTGGTCATCACAATGCTATTTTAAGATAGAGTGTAAATCTGATCATTCAGTAAGCTCTTACTCCAGGCTTAGAGGAAACGTTTAGTAGTAGTAGAAAAAACATCAGTGAGTTTCCTTCCTTTACAAAGACATCACTAGAATTTGAAAGGTGGGTTCTGAAAAAGTAGCTCTTAGATTTAATCTCAGCCCAATTAGAATCTTTCAGCATCCAATGATAGTTAATATGGGATCAGGTAAAATCTATTCTGTTACATGCGGGAAAAACCCCCACAAACTTTTATAATCCTGGGACCAGAGCATTTATAATCCTGGGACCAGACATAGGCATTCTGTGAAGGACAATCTGCTTTCATTTCTATACTTTGCCACTTATAAAATCAGGAAAATAATTTGTTTCACTTTTCTCTCATGAGGTTATCCCAGGCAGTATCATATTTGAGAAGCTGTACTGAAATCTTCATGAGCAAAATGTGTGAGTCTTGTCTTTAACTTTTCACTGGGCTTTGAATCCATTCGGTGATGGATAATATAGCTTTCTCATTATGAGACTTTTATATTGATAGCTTCATTTTTAGATATGTCGCAAGGAAAAACCGAAGTTTGGCTTCCAGATGATTTACCTCATTGTGGCTAATACCATGAATGCTTGCAACTTTGGTTTAGGGGCTTCTTGGAGGAACAGGACAGGAAGGATGAATGACTCCTGTGAGGTCAGCGTCATAATTTTACACCCTGTTCAACTCCTCAAGCCCTTGATAATACACAGGTGCTGCAGAAATGTACCAGTCAATACTTCAACAAACGCATATCCCACCTCTCATAGGCAATTACTTTGGTCACCTTATGCTTGATTTTTCATTCAGTTTGATAGCAACTCTCACTTTATGTCTTTCAACCAGCTTGAAATAATAGATTCCTTCTCCAAAGTGACTTTAAAACAAGCACTTCTTGGCAACATTTGCCGTTTTAACAATATGGGAAAGAAAGGGGCAGATCTTTCTTTCCTTGCACTGTCTAATTGAGATGTCTCTATATTCAGGCTATTGATTTATGTGGCGTGAGGCACATGGCACAGTAAATTATTTTCATATGATGCCAGGTCACCTGCTATAAATCAGATGACAATCCCATACAGATTTGAGTTTCATGAGAGCCAAGACTATATCTTAGACTGAAAGAGAAGATAATTATATGTGCAATAAATAGTGGTTGGTTTTTGCATACTGCTTTTGTAAGGATTTTTTTCCCATTATAATCAGTTTTCTTTTGTAAAACTTCATTGAAACTGAAAAGTTCAAGTCAAATTACAGCTAGACAACTAAGGTAAATCAGCAAAAGATGTGGGAAAAGCATATATAACAGATAATTACACAATAATTTGAGTAGGCCACTGAACCATTTCTGATGGCCTTTTGTAGTTTAAACTTTGTTTGCAAGATATTTCTAGTTATACTCACACAATTCTTTAATTTAAGTCTTTGTAAAATTCTCAGTATTACAGAATATGCCTATAATGAATCACCCTTGGACATGATCAGCATCCAAAATGGTCATGTAAATATTTTATATAATGCAAATCATTATGTTGAATTAAAAACTTTTGTATTCATAATTTTCTTCTTTTTGTCCTCTGGGTTGACGAGTTCATTTTGTATATGATGATATCTGGAATGTGGAATTACTTTGAGCATTGTTCATGAGATGAGGCTACTTTTTAAAATTAAGCTAATTAACCTATTTTTTCAAAGGATGTGGTGTGGCTTACAATAAAAGGTAGGTTTGTAATAAGACTGATAAAAGAAAAACAGAAAATAAAAGCCCTGAAGGAGAATGTGACGATCATAGTCATATTCTGAAAATGCGAATTTAATTTAACTTTAAGATTCCTGGCAGACAAGATAAAAAGGAAAACACAAGAGGATGTGTAATTCTTATCTTATAGTCAAAGACTGCTACTTCTTAAAGAGAAAAACATTATCTCTGGCAATAAATTCATAACAGAATATATCACGTAGGCCCCTTCATAGAAGATATTGAAGGATACAGTAGACAGTAGCCCAAGATGGTATCAATTACAAGTGATACCACTTCTGCTATGTTACTTATATCTGAAAAGTAAAGTAAAATTGAATTTCCTTATATATGAAATAGGAAAGCTGCGTCCATGTCTAAGCGATCACAAGTGCAATAAGAACTATTCTAGTACTCAAAGGTCTCAAGTCAACCATTATACTGCAAATTCATGGGAACAATTGAATATATACATGTGCCTTTTTAACTTGTTCTATGACAGGCACAAGGTGCTGAGGTCAGGCACAAGGTGCTGAGGTCAGGATGGGGTCGGATAATGTGTTTTCTTGGTATATTGGATGGCCTTGTAGCCATGAAAGCCTCTAAAAATAGTAGTTAGGGGATTCTTAGTCTTAGCTTCAGGAACAAGATGAGGCAATGGGATGGTGGGGATGAATAGTTAAGACGCTGGGACAATTAGATATATATGGGAAGTGGAGTTCAGGTGTCAGAATGAGTGATTCAGGAGAGGTAGTCTGGGGCTTGGTTTTATGCAGTTTCAGCTGTGTGTAGAGCCTAATGGCTTGAAGGCACCAAGCGAACCTGAACATTTGTGATTATCTCTATTAATGAGTAATGGGATCACTTAGGTGATAAAAATCTATAAAAGCGTTTGAATGAGTAGATCTTTTTTATGTCACCACCAAACCTTCTGCCACAATCCCTTCCTCCCTCTTGACCTCTGAGTAGGGTATAATGATCAGCAACGGTCCAAAGTTTGGGCAATAAAAATATATTGGATATGCATTCAGAGGTTACATAATCAGCTCTAAACTCATAAATCAGAAATTGCCTGTACTGAGGGTGATTCAGACAGGCATAACAAACTTGGTTCATACAGAGAAAAAAAAAGATATTTTAAAATTAAGACTGCTTCACAGTTGAGGGAGCACTTCAATAAGGTACGACTTAGAGGCAGGTGGTAATGTCTTAGGGCTGCTTCTTTATCTTGTTATTTGGTGATATAAATCAAAGATGCTTTCCAGATGTGATGATCGTTTAACTTACTGTCTGTGTGGTGTACATGGTTGGGCCTATTTTATGGGAGATTGGCTTTGTAACCATCTAAAATTTCATAACTGTCTCTATGCTCCCCAACCCTCTAATTGCTTGTTTGAATTGTGAATTGTCCAGCCAGCCAAGGTTAATGGTGGAGACTGAGATTATGACACTGTCTTCCTTTGTATGTAAAGATAATTAGTGTTTCAGCTCCAGTCTCATTATTCCACCTTGAGTTAATAAAGTGTTTGTGCATCAGTCAGATTCACCTCGAGGAGCACTTTTAGGAACAATGTTCCCAAGCTGAGTTTGGTATGTCGAGTTGGAATAACAGGGATTTAAAAAAAATTAAACCCATGAAGAGAGAAGTAACTCTGTACAGAGTGGTGATGTCATATATGTAATTGTGTATGTCATATATGATTTACACATGTATTTGAACTGGTTCCTTTGGAAATAGTCAAATCAATCTATGGATTATCATTGGAAGCTGCTGTTCTTATCAGACAACAACTACTTTTATTTTATTTTATTGTGTGCCTATTACATCTGGAAAGCATCTTTGATTTATATGACCAAATAACATGATAAAGAAGCAGCCCTAAGATACCACCACCTGCCTTTAAATAATACCTTACTGAAGTGCTCCTTCAATTGCGAAATAGACTTAATTTGAAAGTATCTTTTTTCTTCTATATATTTACATTAATGAATGTAAATGGTATGAACCAAGTTTGTTATGCCCATTCTTATTAGAGCACAGTATAATTCTGAAAAAAACTAGAATCCAGACAAGGAAGTCTTATGTACATATCTAAACAAAATGACATATTTATGGTGTACTATAAATAAAGAGGGTTTTTGTCCAGATCCCGAGCAGCCAAACTTCATAATTGTTAATGTTTTTTCATGCTGAGGCATGAATAGTCAGATGAAATTAATACTTACATAGTGATAAAAAAATGATAATGCATATTTTTATTATGCTGCAATGTGTCTGAAGCTTTCAATTAAAATTGATCTGGCAGATTTATTACCTGGCAGACATATTTTGCAAACTGTCTACAGTTAGCAACCCATATCACACCCAAAGTATCAGGAATCAAGATACCTTATTTCTGGTTTCTTCAGCCCTGAAATCTTCCTTGTGTGTTTACACCAGGCATTGCACATCTAAATAAGGCGAGCAGTTAAGCCTTGCCACTGGTAACTGGCCAAGGTAGTTAAAGATCATCCAAATGGAGTTCAAGCTTTCATTCCCTATCTCCAGGATTTCTCTGCATCTGTTCTGACCTTCTCCCTGGGCACAGCCAAGCACTACCTTGAAGCTATTTCTTTGCTTACTGTAATGGGGATTCTCCTATCACAGTTGATTGCTGCACTTAAGTGCAGTCTGCTGCATGCTGAACTTCAAGGAGTCGTAAATGGAGATGGTTTTACAGCTTAACTCATTCATTGGTTGCTGTTCACATTATCAGTTCTCAGAGACTTTATGGAATCCTAGGGTTCATTTTCTGCTGCCCATTTGGAGACTGTAGGTACCTGGCATAGAAGTGTGTGTTGAAGAAGATAATATGCCTTTAAATGTCCTGCCCACGTA